TGTGGAGTGGAATCACAGCGAGTGTGGAGTGGAATGTGCGGACCGTGTGAAGTGGAATTACAGCGAGTGTGGAGTGGAGTCTCAGGCTGTGTGGAGTGGAGTCATAGGCTGTGTGTAGTGGAATCTCAGGGCGTGTGAAGTGGAATCACAGCTCGTGTGGAGTGGAATCATAGGCTGTGTGGAGTGGAGTCACAGCGAGTGTGGAATGGAATCATAGGCTGAGTGGAGTGGAATTACAGCGAGTGTGGAGTGGAGTCTCAGGCCGTGTGAAGTGGAATCATAGGCTGTGTGTAGTGGAATCACAGCTCGTGTGAAGTGGAGTCATAGGCTGTGTGGAGTGGAGTCATAGGTTGTGTGGAGTGGAGTCATAGGCCGTGTGTAGTGGAATCATAGGCTGTGTGGAGTGGAATCATAGGCCGTGTGAAATGGAATCACAGTTCGTGTGGAGTGGAATCATAGGCCGTGTGAAATGGAATCATAGGCTGTGTGGAGTGGAATCACAGCGAGTGTGGAATGGAATCACAGCGAGTGTGGAGTGGAGTCATAGGCTGTGTGGAGTGGAGTCTCAGGGCGTGTTAAGTGAAGTCACAGGCTGTGTGTAGTGGAATTACAGTGAGTGTGAAGTGGAATCACAGCGAGTGTGGAATGGAATCACAGCTCGTGTGGAGTGGAGTCTCAGGCTGTGTGGAGTGGAGTCATAGGCTGTGTGGAGTGGAATTACAGCGAGTGTGGAGTGGAGTTTTGGGCACGTGTCTGTGTCTGTGTCTCTGTCTCGGTGTCTGTGTCTCTGTGTGTGTCTGTGTCTCTGTGTCTGTGTCTCTGTCTGTGTCTCTGTGTCTGTCTCTGTGTCTGTGTCTCTGTGTCTGTGTCTCTGTGTGTGTCTGTGTCTCTGTCTGTGTCTCTGTCTCTGTCTGTGTCTCTGTGTGTGTCTGTGTCTCTGTCTGTGTCTCTGTGTGTGTCTGTGTCTCTGTGTGTGTCTGTGTCTCTGTGTGTGTCTGTGTCAGTGTCTGTGTCTCTGTCTGTGTCTGTGTGTGTCTGTGTCTCTGTCTGTGTCTCTGTCTGTGTCTCTGTGTGTGTCTGTGTCTCTGTGTCTCTGTGTCTCTGTGTGTGTCTCTGTCTGTGTCTCTGTCTGTGTGCGTGTGTCTGTGTCTCTGTATGTGTCTCTGTCTGTGTGTCTCTGTCTCTGTATCTCTGTCTGTGTGTCTGTCTGTGTCTCTGTCTGTGTCTGTATCTGTATCTGTCTGTGTCTGTATCTCTGTCTGTGTCTGTATCTCTGAGACAGAGAGAGACAGAGAGTGTCTGTGTGAGTGAGAGTGTGTGTGTCTGTGTGAGTGTGTGAGTGTGTCTGTGTGTGTGAGTGTGTGAGTGTGTGTCTGTGTGAGTGTGTGAGTGAGTAACTTAATCGATCAATCACTGAGTCCATAAACTCATTGATCGATCTCACAGCCGATGAGCCCAGAGCTCTCATCCCCAACCTGGTTCCTGTCAAGCAGTCGACTCGTTACAGCTGAGGGTGGTGGTGATGGTGGTGGATGTGGTGGTGGTGATGGTGGTGGTGATGGTGGTGGTGATGGTGGTGATGGTGGTGGATGTGGTGGTGGTGATGGTGGTGGTGATGGTGGTGGTGATGGTGGTGGTGGATGTGGTGGTGGTGATGGTTGTGGTGGTAGTGATGGTGGTGGTGATGGTGGTGGTGTTGGTGGTGGTGGTGATGGTGGTGGTCGTGATGGGGGTGGTGGTGATGGTTGTGGTGGTGATGGTGGTGGTGATGGTGGTGGTGGATGTGGTGGTGGTGATGGTTGTGGTGGTAGTGATGGTGGTGGTGATGGTGGTGGTGTTGGTGGTGGTGGTGATGGTGGTGGTCGTGATGGGGGTGGTGGTGATGGTTGTGGTGGTGATGGTGGTGGTGATGGTGGATGTGGTGGTGGTGATGGTTGTGGTGGTAGTGATGGTGGTGGTGATGGTGGTGGTGTTGGTGGTGGTGGTGATGGTGGTGGTCGTGATGGGGGTGGTGGTGATGGTTGTGGTGGTGATGGTGGTGGTGATGGTTGTGGTGGTAGTGATGGTGGTGATGGTGGTGGTGGTGGTGATGGTGGTGGTGGTGATGGTGGTGATGGTGATGGTGGTGATGATTGTGATGGTGGTTGTGGTGGTGATGGTAGTGGTGGTGGTGATGGTGGTTGTGGTGATGGTTGTGGTGGAGATGGTGGTAGTGATGGTGGTGATGATTGTGATGGTGGTTGTGATGATGGTGGTTGTGGTGGTGATGGTAGTGGTGATGGTGGTTGTGGTGGTGATGGTAGTGGTGATGGTGGTTGTGGTGGTGATGGTAGTGGTGATGGTGGTTGTGGTGGTGATGGTGGTTGTGGTGATGGTTGTGGTGGAGATGGTGGTGGTGGTGATGGTTGTGGTGGAGATGGTGGTAGTGATGGTGGTGATGATTGTGATGGTGGTTGTGATGATGGTGATTGTGGTGGTGATGGTAGTGGTGATGGTGGTGATAGTGGTTGTTGTAAATGATGGTAGTGGTGATGATCAAAGTGGTGATGGTGCTAGTGGTGGTGATTATGGTAGGATATAACCTGATCACCATCATGGTCATCATCTTCAACATCACCACCATTATCACCGCCATCATCACGATCATTATCACCACCATCATCACCACCACCATCATCACCACCACCACCAGGGTCGATAAATCAAGTACTCATCAGCCGGCATCATGGGATTAACCTCACACTTCCCAGACACCCAAATGTCTCAGAATCCTGGCCCCTGCCATAGCAATGTGGAATTTCTGACGGAAGACACCACAGAGACTAATACCATCTCTCTCCCTCCCCGTGTCTCTCCCTCCCCGCGTCTCTCCCTCCCCGCGTCTCTCCCTCCCCGTGTCTCCCTCCCCGTGTCTCTCTCCCCGTGTCTCTCTCTCCCCGTGTCTCCCTCCCTGTGTCTCTCTCTCTCTCCCCGTGTCTCCCTCCCCGTGTCTCTCTCCCCGTGTCTCTCTCCCCGTGTCTCTCTCCCCGTGTCTCTCTCCCCGTGTCTCTCTCCCCGTGTCTCCCTCCCCGTGTGTCTCTCTCTCCCCGTGTCTCTCTCCCCGTGTCTCTCTCCCCGTGTCTCTCTCCCCGTGTCTCCCTCCCCGTGTCTCTCTCCCATGTCTCTCTCTCCACGTGTCTCTCTCCCCGTGTCTCTCTCTCCGTGTCTCTCCCCCCCCCGTCTCTCTCTCTCCCCGTGTCTCTCTCGCCCCGTGTCTCTCTCGCCCCGTGTCTCTCTCTCCCCGTGTCTCCCTCCCCCCGTGTCTCTCCCTCCCCGTGTCTCTCCCTCCCCGTGTCTCCCTCCCCGTGTCTCCCTCCCCGTGTCTCTCTCCCCCGTGTCTCTCTCTCCCCGTGTCCCTCTCGCCCCGTGTCTCTCCCCGTGTCTCCCTCCCTGTGTCTCTCTCTCTCCCCGTGTCTCCCTCCCCGTGTCTCTCTCCCCGTGTCTCTCTCCCCGTGTCTCTCTCCCCGTGTCTCCCTCCCCGTGTCTCTCTCTCTCCCGTGTCTCCCTCCCTGTGTCTCTCTCTCTCCCCGTGTCTCTCTCCCCGTGTCTCTCTCCCCGTGTCTCTCCCCCCGTGTCTCCCTCCCCGTGTCTCTCTCCCATGTCTCTCTCTCCCCGTGTCTCTCTCCCCGTGTCTCTCTCTCTCCCGTGTCTCCCTCCCCGTATCCCTGTGCTGGGAAACAGAGAGACACACAGACAGACAGCCAGCGAGAGAGAGACAGAGACACACAGACAGCGAGAGACACAGAGACACACACAGACAGAGACAGAGACACACACAGACAGCGAGAGAGACACAGAGACAGAGACACACACAGACAGCGAGAGACACAGAGACACACACAGACAGCGAGAGAGACACAGAGACACAGAGACACACAGAGACACACACACAGAGACACAGCGAGAGATACACAGAGACACACACAGACACACACACAGAGAGACAGAGACACACAGAGACACACACAGAGACACACAGAGACACACAGAGAGACACAGAGAGACAGACACAGAGAGACAGACACACAGAGACACACAGAGAGACACAGAGAGACACAGAGACAGACAAACACAGAGACACACACAGAGACACACACAGACACACACACAGAGAGACAGAGACACACACAGAGACACACACAGAGACACACAGAGACACACAGACACACAGAGAGAGAGAGACACAGACACACAGACACACAGAGACACACACAGAGACACACAGAGACAGAGAGAGACACAGACACAGAGAGACAAAGACACACAGAGACACACACACAGAGACACACACAGAGACAGAGACACACACAGAGACACAGTGAGACACAGACACACAGAGAGACACAGAGACACACAGAGAGACACAGAGACACACACACAGAGACAGAGACACACAGACACACAGAGACAGAGACACACAGAGAGACACACACAGAGACACACAGAGACACACACAGAGAGACACAGAGACAGAGAGACACAGAGACACACAGAGACACAGAGACACACAGAGACAGAGAGAGACAGAGACACAGAGAGACACAGAGACACAGAGACACAGAGAGACACAGAGAGACACAGAGAGACACAGAGACACACACACAGAGAGACACAGACACACAGAGACACACAGAGAGACAGAGACAGAGAGACACACACAGAGACACACACAGAGACACACAGAGACAGACACACAGAGAGACAGAGAGACAGACACACAGAGACACACACAGAGAGACAGAGACACAGAGACACACACAGAGAGACAGAGAGACAGAGAGACAGATCTCTCTCCCGTAGGCGACACAGAGACAGAGAGACAGATCTCTCTCCCGCAGGCGACACAGAGACAGAGAGACAGATCTCTCTCCCGTAGGCGACACAGAGATAGAGAGACAGATCTCTCTCCCGTAGGCAACACAGAGACAGAGAGACAGATCTCTCTCCCGCAGGCGACACAGAGACAGAGAGACAGATCTCTCTCCCACAGGCGACACAGAGACAGAGAGACACACACACAGAGACAGAGAGGCAGAGAGACAGAGAGACAGAGAGACAGATCTCTCTCCCGTAGGCGACACAGGCCTTGCGCGCTCCATCAGCGCTGCTTCTTCCCATCCGCCTCCCGTTCAGCGTCCGGCGGTGAGGCTGGCGGTGGTGAGTGTGGTGGTGGTGAGTGTGGTGGTGAGTGTGGTGGTGGTGAGTGTGGTGGTGAGTGTGGTGGTGAGTGTGGTGAGGGTGGTGAGGGTGAGGACACCACAAGGGACGTCTGCTGAAAGACTTCGATCATCGTCAGCCGCACCGACTCAGTGAGGGCCGGCACCGTGTCGGACGTGAAGCCGTCGGTCGCGACCGGCGATAGAACCCTGGCTACCACCACGCCTAGATAGACACACACACAGATAGACACACAGATAGACACACACACACCTAGTTAGACACACACACAGGTAGACACACAGACAGGGCCGGCACCGTGTCGGACGTGAAGCCGTCGGTCGCGACCGGGGATAGAACCCTGGCTACCACCACGCCTAGATAGACACACACACAGATAGACACACACACACACCTAGTTAGACACACAGACAGACACACACACACCTAGTTAGACACACAGATAGACACACACACACCTAGTTAGACACACAGATAGACACACACACACACCTAGTTAGACACACAGATAGACACACACACACCTAGTTAGACACACACACCTAGTTAGACACACAGACAGGACCGGCACCGTGTCGGACGTGAAGCCGTTGGTCGCGACCGGGGATAGAACCCTGGCTACCACCACGCCTAGATAGACACACACACAGATAGACACACACACCTAGTTAGACACCTAGTTAGACACACAGATAGACACACACACCTAGTTAGACACACACAGATAGACACACACACCTAGTTAGACACACAGATAGACACACACACACCTAGTTAGACACACACACAGGTAGACACACAGACAGGGCCGGCACCGTGTCGGACGTGAAGCCGTCGGTCGCGACCGGGGATAGAACCCTGGCTACCACCACGCCTAGATAGACACACACAGATAGACACACACACCTAGTTAGACACACAGATAGACACACACACACGCCTAGTTAGACACACACACACAGGTAGACACACAGACACACACACACTAAGTGGTGGTGACATCACCACGACGCTTGTGCCAGGCTATGTGCACCCTGAGGCCACGTGAAGTGTCGAACGCCCGCTGGCAGGAGGTCACGGGGCAGACCCAGGTGCCACGGGTCGACTGACTGAGATGACTGGCTGATGCACCACCTGTGCCCCCTACTGTGCCAACCTGCTGTGCTTTAGCCACCCGGCGTTCCGCTCGTTGTTCTGAGCGTCGCTCCTCCGCCCTCCGTTGTTGTTGGAGGGCGACTGCCTCCAACTGCCCAGTAGCGTCCTTCACGAGCCTCCTCCACAGAGGCCGATCTTGACACCGCTGGTACCAGTCATCGGCAAGTCCACTCAGCTCCACGTCCTCCTGTACCACATCACTCCATCTCTTCTCTAGCCCGTGCCGCGCCCGCTTAGCCCCCTCAATCCGGCCGAACAAAAGCTGTTTCGGCATGCGTTGGCTGGGCATGCAAGCTACATGATCCAGCCATCGCAGCCTTGCCCGCCGGAGGAGCTCACAGATGGGACCTTGCCCAGATCTTTCAAGGATTTGTGAGCTCCTCACACAATCCAGTCCGGTTAAACCCAGGATGGATCGTAGGCAGGCCAGCCTAAATGTTTCTAACCGGCGAAGATGTTCCATTAGGGGGGTCCACGTTTCGCAAGCGTAGAGAAGGGAGGGAATGACCGTGGCCGAGAAGACCTGAAGCTTAGTGCGGAGCGACAGACCAGGTAGCTTCCACACAGCGTTACACAACCGATGAAAAGATGTTGCCGCTCGACTGATTTGGAGTGAGACCTCTGCTGTTAAACCGGAGCCGGTCATAAGCACACTACCCAGGTATGGGAAACTCTCCACTCTCTCCACAACTGCCCCATCACCGATTGGGAGTTGTGGGGGTGGAGTGTCCGATGGTACAAAATACCCAGGCAGGTGCTTAGTTTTGGTGGGGCTGATGGTAAGGCCCCACCTCTTAGTGGCACGCTCCAGTCTCAGCAGCAGCGTCTCCAACTCCTTTTCTGACTGAGCAGCTATTACCAAATCATCAGCATACATAACGTGGTTGACCAATAGGGAGCCATCCCTTGACCGCACCCGGGCATCGATCAGCCTCCCATTATATCTGTACCATATGGAGATTCCCCCGGTACAGCTATTGAAGGCTTCACGAACTACGTGGTCAAAATAGATGTTAAATAATGTGGGAGCCAGAGGACAACCCTGTCGCACCCCAAGGTGTACAGGGAATGGCTCTGACTCCCGGCCACGTAGTTTTACCCGGGCCCGCTCACCATCATGAAGGTCCTTAATGATCGTGAGCAGAGGGTCAGGTACTCCAAAAGCACGAAGAACGACCCAGAGCCCAGGCCTACTGATGATATCATAGGCCTTGACCAGGTCAATAAAGCAGGCATGTAGGTCTTGCTGGAATTCCCTCCACCTCTGCTGTAGCAGACGGACAGAAAATGTGGCATCTGTGCAGGACCGCCCTTTCCTGAAACCGCATTGGGGCTCCGCAAGCCTCTCCTCAGCGTGCCTGGCAAGGCAATGTTGAATAATCCTTGCAGGACCTTTCCCGGCGCACTGAGGAGTGAGATACCTCTGTAGTTGTTACAGTCTTTGCTGTCCCCCTTCTTAAATAGGGGGACAACCAGGGCATCCTTCCAATCCTGCGGAACCCGTTCAGTGGTCCAGACTGTTGTTATGATGTCATATAGGGCAGTCTGTGCACAAACGCCGCCCTCCCTCAGCATTTTGCTTGGGAGATCATCTCTGCCCGCTGCCTTTCCTGGTCTCAGACTCCGGATCGCCTTCAGCACTTCCTCAACAGATGGCACCTCAGCCAGCCACTCACAGGGGGTGACTTCTTCCATATTTGAGGCACCGCAGCCTCAGCAGGGTCATCCCCACTTTGTGCCACGATGTTTTCCTGGCTGAGGGATTTTCCCTCCCCCAGGAACTCAGAAATGCTCAGCAAATCTGCAAACCTGTTCCTGGGGGTCGGAGATTGGATCACCGTTTTTCCCCCTAATGATGGTAATAGGTGTGGCGCTGCAGGTTACTTTTTTGATGGAGTTAAATAAGAGATTTGTGATCGTGGGCCACTGAGGCAGACTCCATCTCCTCAGCAACCCACGACCACCACCCATCCTTGCAGCACCTCACGGCTCTCCGAACCTCCGAGCGAAGGCTGTGGTAAGCCTCCTCATTCTCTGATGTGGGATTCTGTAGCCGATGACAGTGGGCCTGTCGCTTTTTCTCAACTATCCTGAACACCTCCTCTGTCAGCCAGGGTCTCTGGGGAGGTCTGGACCGCGTACCCAAAGCAGCCATTGCAGCTGCATGAGCCACAGTCCTAAACCTAGCCCATTTACCCTCGACATCAGAAGGAGTGGGGGACGATGCCAACCCTAGCCGCAGGCGATGATGAAATTCTCGCTTGCAACTTTCATCAGCTAACTGAGACCAAGCCACTTTTGGTTGGAATGGGGTCCTGGGTGTACACCCACCACCGGAGTGGAAGAATGGCAGGCGCATCTTACAGATGACTAGTCGATGGTCAGAGGGTAGATCAGCTCCACGGTAGGTCCTGGTGTCAAGGATATGGGCTCGCATCCGCTGGTTCGTCACTATGTAGTCCAGCAGATGTTCTTGCTTGGACCCGGCATGCATCCATGATGTTGTGTGGATGCGCCGATGCCAGAACAGCGTGTTGGTAATTACAAGCCCATGGGCTGCACAAAAATCTAGCAGCCTCCTACCGTTGTTATTGAGCTGATCTGGCCCATGCCCTCCAATCACTCCAGACCAGGTGCCAGCATCCTGACCAACTCGGGCATTGAAGTCACCCAACAAGATGACTCTATCCCGAGGTGCCACTTTAGCCAGCACCTGTGACAGGAGGTCATAGAAGGCATCTGATTCATCGGCTTCGCCTGCATCCCTCCACGGATGTTCGTCTTCGGTGGGGGCATAAGTAACCACGACCACCATTCCTCGCCTCCGGTTGATGGGAAGGCGAGCCCAAAGTAGCCTGGGGCTTACAGCTTCCCACACCTCACCGCCACGCTCCCACGCCCCCTTCATTCTTTTGTTCAAAAGAAGAGCCACACCCTGTTGTTTGGCAGTCTGCTGCCCCGAGTAGAGGACTGTCCACCCCTCATGGTGGCAGGAGCCAGAGCCGGTCCACCGGACCTCCTGAATGCCACAGAGATCCAGGCGGTACCGGTCCAGCTCCCGACAGAGGAGTGGCAGCCTCTCCTCCGCAGTGAGCGTTCGAACATTCCACTTGGCCACACGTAGTGGCTTTTCGTTGTTTCTGGAGGAGCCCCGACGGTAGAGATTCAATCTCCTGGCTCCACCAATTGGGGTTTGGCCAGGAGACGTCATAGACGCCTGTCCCCCCGGGGCCTCCGGCACAAGCATATTAGTTAGATATTTTAGATGTGGTTTAGTGGTAAATTTTTGAAGGTGGAGGGGTTACCAGCCCCTCGCACCCATCCAGAGCCCCCGTTTAGCCCCTGTGGTGGTCACAGACGCCATGAGGGGAGGAGCCAATCGGAATTGGCTCCTCCCCCCACAGCATTGTCCACGACAGAGTTGCCCGTCCAGCACCGCGAGGAGGTAGGGGGTTGTTTTGCCGGATAGACACACACACAGATAAACACACACACAGTGACACCCACACACAGATACACACACACACAGTGACACACACAGTCACACACAGTCACACACACACATAGATACATATACACACACAGATAGACACACACACAGATACAGACACACACACCTAGATAGACACACACAGATACAGACACACACACCTAGATAGACACACACAGATACAGACACACACACATAAATAGACACACAACAACAACAACCGCCATTCGCCACTAAGTGGCGGTGACGTCACCACGACGCTTGTGCCAGGCTATGTGCACCCTGAGGCCACGTGAAGTGTCGAACGCCCGCTGGCAGGAGGTCACGGGGCAGACCCAGGTGCCACGGGTCGACAGATACAGACACACACACAGTGACACACACACACAGATACAGACACACACACAGATACAGACACACACACATAGATACACACACAGATACAGACATACACACATAGATACACACACAGATACAGACACACACACAGATACAGACACACACACAGACAGATACAGACACACACACATAGATACACACACAGATATACACACATACAAATACATATACACACACATACACACAGATAGACACACACACAGATAGACACACACAGAGATACAGACACACACACATAGATAGACACACACACAGATAGACACACACACAGATACAGACACACACACAGATACAGACACACACACATACACACATAGATAGACACACACAGATAGACACACACACATAGATACACACACAGATACACACACACACAGATACAGACACACACACATAGATACACACACAGATAGACACACACACAGATAGACACACACACAGATAGACACACACACACAGATAGACACACACACAGATACAGACACACACACATAGATACACACACAGATATATACACACACACATACAAATACATATACACACATACACACAGATAGACACATGCACACACAGATAGACACACACACATAGATACACACACAGATATATATACACACACACATACAAATACATATACACACACACACAGATAGACACACACACATATACAGACACACACACATAGATACACACACAGATATATACACACACACATACAAATATATATACACACACACACAAATACATATACACACACACAGATAGACACACACACAGATACAGATACACACACAAATATACACACACACGTACAAATACATATACACACACACACAGATAGACACACACACAGATAGACACACACAGATACAGACACACACACAGATACAGACACACACACAGATACAGACACACACACAGATATATACACACACACACAGATATAGACACACACACAGATACAGACACACACACATAGATACACACACAGATATATACACACACACATACAAATACATATACACACACACAGATAGACACGCACACACAGATAGACACGCACACACAGATAGACACACACACAGATAGACACACACAGTTAGACACACACAGATAGACACACACAGACACACACAGACAGACACACACACACACAGACAGACACACACACAGACACACACACATACAGACACACACAGTTAGACACACACACAGTTAGACACACACACAGGCACACACACAGTTAGACACACACACAGTTAGACACACACACAGTTAGACACACACACAGACACACACACAGTTAGACACACACACAGTTAGACACACACACAGACACACACACACAGACACACACACACAGTTAGACACACACACAGACACACACACACACAGACAGACACACACACACAGACACACACACACACAGACACACACACACACACAGACACACACACAGTTAGACACACACACAGTTAGACACACACACAGTTAGACACACACACAGTTAGACACACACACAGATAGACACACACACAGACACACACACACAGTTAGACACACACACAGACAGACACACACACAGTTAGACACACACACAGACACACACACAGTTAGACACACACACACACAGTTAGACACACACAGTTAGACACACACACAGTTAGACACACACACAGTTAGACACACACACAGTTAGACACACACACACAGTTAGACACACACACAGACACACACACAGTTAGACACACACACAGTTAGACACACACACAGACACACACACAGACAGACAGACACACACACAGACACACACACACAGACACACACACAGTTAGACACACACACAGACACACACACAGTTAGACACACACACAGTTAGACACACAGACACACACACAGTTAGACACACACACACAGACACACACAGTTAGACACACACACAGACACACACACAGACACACACACAGTTAGACACACACAGTTAGACACCGTGGCTACCACCACACCTGGTTAGACAGAGACACAGAAAGATACACACGGAGAGAGAGAGACACGGGCAGAGAGGGTGAGTGAGTGAGTGGGTGAGTGAGTGAGTGGGTGAGTGAGTGGGTGAGTGAGTGGGTGAGTGGGTGAGTGGGTGAGTGAGTGGGTGAGTGAGTGGGTGAGTGGGTGAGTGAGTGAGTGGGTGAGTGAATGAGTGGGTGAGTGAGTGAGTGGGTGAGTGAGTGGGTGAGTGGGTGGGTGCGTGAGTGGGTGAGTGGCTGAGTGAGTGAGTGAATGGGTGAGTGAGTGAGTGGCTGAGTGAGTGAGTGGCTCAGTGAGTGAGTGGCTGAGTGAATAAGTGAGTGGATGAGTGAATGAGTGAGTGACTGAGTGAGTGAGTGGCTGAGTGAGTGGCTGAATGGCTGAGTGAGTGAGTGGCTGAGTGAGTGAATGAGTGAGTGGGTGAGTGAGTGAGTGGGTGAGTGAGTGGCTGAGTGAATAAGTGAGTGGCTGAGTGAGTGGCTAAGTGAGTGAGTGGCTGAGTGAGTGGCTGAGTGAGTGAGTGGCTGAGTGAGTGGGTGAGTGGCTGAGTGAGTGGCTGAGTGAGTGAGTGGCTGAGTGAGTGAATGAGTGAGTGGCTGAGTGAGTGAGTGGCTGAGTGAGTGAGTGGCTGAGTGAGTGAGTGGCTGAGTGAGTGAGTGATGAGTGTGTGGTGAGTGAGTGGTGAGTGAGTGGTGAGTGTGTGGTGAGCGGTGAGTCACTCACCAGGAGTAAATCTCCTTTCCTGCCGACTGTAGAAGCGGCTGTATGAGGAGAAAACCACGGGGATGATGGGAACCTGAAAACCACCACCACCATCACCACCACCATCATCACCATCATCACCATCACCACCACCATCATCATCATCATCACCACCACCATCATCATCATCACCATCATCACCACCGCCATCATCACCACCATCACCACCATCATCACCATCATCACCACCATCACCACCACCACCACCACCCACACCATCACCACCACTACCACCACCCACATCACCACCACCACCATGTGATAGCGATTATCTGAACCGGTCGTGGGACTCCGTCCCTCCCCTAGGTCGACTCAGCCTCAATTAAGTACGTGAACGTCACCGCCGGTGCCGTGTGTGGTGAACGTGGGTGGTGGTGGTGGTGTGGGTGGTGGTGGTGGTGTGTGTGTGGGTGGTGGTGTGGGTGGTGGTGTGTGTGTGGGTGGTGGTGTGGGTGGTGGTGGTGTGTGTGGTGGTAGTGTGGGTGGTAGTGTGGGTGGTGGTGGTAGTGTGGGTGGTGGTGGTGTGTGATGTGTGGTGGTGGTAGTGTGTGTGTGGGTGGTAGTGTGGGTGGTAGTGTGGGTGGTAGTGTGGGTGGTGGTGGTGGTGGTAGTGTGGTGGTGGTGTGGGTGGTAGTGTGGGTGCTGGTGGTGGTAGTGTGGTGGTGGTAGTGTGTGTGGTGGTGGTAGTGTGTGTGGTGGTGGTAGTGTGTGTGGTGGTGGTAGTGTGGGTGGTGGTGTGTGTGGTGGTGCTAGTGTGTGGTGGTGGTAGTGTGTGTGGTGGTGGTAGTGTGGCTGGTAGTGTGGGTGGTGGTGGTAGTGTGGTGGTAGTGTGGGTAGTGGTGGTGGTGAGTAGGGAAGACAAAGGCGGCCGTGAGGGGGGTGTCTACCTGGGCCTGCACTGCCAGGTGGAACGCTCCCTTCTTGAATGGGAGCATCGGTAGTGTGGGTGGTGGTGGTAGTGTGGGTGGTGGTGGTAGTGTGGGTGGTAGTGTGTGTGGTGGTAGTGTGTGTGGTGGTGGTAGTGTGGGTGGTGGTGGTGTGGGTGGTGGTGTGTGTGGTAGTGTGTGTGGTAGTGGTGGTAGTGTGTGTGGTGGTGGTAGTGTGGGTGGTGGTGTGGGTGGTAGTGTGTGTGGTGGTAGTGTGGGTGGTGGTGGTAGTGTGTGGTGGTGGTAGTGTGGGTGGTAGTGTGGGTGGTAGTGTGTGTGGTGGTGGTAGTAGTGTGGGTGGTGGTAGTGTGGGTAGTGGTGGTGGTGTGTGTGGTGGTGGTAGTGTGGGTGGTGGTGGTAGAGTGGTGGTAGTGTGGGTAGTGGTGGTGGTGAGTAGGGGAGACAAAGGCGGCCGTGAGGGGGGTGTCTACCTGGGCCTGCACTGCCAGGTGGAACGCTCCCTTCTTGAATGGGAGCATCGGTAGTGTGGGTGGTGGTGGTAGTGTGTGTGGTGGTGGTAGTGTGGGTGGTGGTGTGTGTGGTGGTGTGTGTGGTGGTGGTGTGTGTGGTGGTGTGTGTGGTGGTGGTAGTGTGGGTGGTGGTGGTGGTGTGTGGTGGTGGTAGTGTGGGTGGTAGTGTGGGTGGCAGTGTGGGTGGTAGTGTGTGTGGTGGTGGTGGTGTGTGGGTGGTGGTAGTGTGGGTGGTAGTGTGGGTGGTAGTGTGTGGTGGTGGTAGTGTGGTGGTAGTGTGGGTGGTGGTGGTAGTGTGTGGTGGTGGTAGTGTGGTGGTAGTGTGTGTGGTGGTGGTAGTGTGTGGTGGTGGTAGTGTGGTGGTAGTGTGTGTGGTGGTGGTAGTGTGGTGGTAGTGTGTGTGGTGGTGGTAGTGTGTGGTGGTGGTAGTGTGGTGGTAGTGTGGTGGTAGTGTGTGTGGTGGTGGTAGTGTGTGGTGGTGGTAGTGTGGCTGGTAGTGTGGGTGGTGGTGGTAGTGTGGTGGTAGTGTGAGTAGTGGTGGTGGTGAGTAGGGGAGACAAAGGCGGCCGTGAGGGGGGGTGTCTACCTGGGCCTGCACTGCCAGGTGGAACGCTCCCTTCTTGAATGGGAGCATCGGTAGTGTGGGTGGTGGTGGTAGTGTGTGTGGTGGTGGTGGTGTGTGTGGTAGTGTGTGTGGTAGTGGTGGTAGTGTGTGTGGTGGTGGTGGTGTGTGGTAGTGTGTGTGGTGGTGTTAGTGTGTGGTAGTGTGGGTGGTGGTAGTGTGTGGTGGTGGTAGTGTGGGTGGTGGTGGTGGTGGTAGTGTGTGTGGTGGTGGTGGTGTGTGTGGTAGTGTGTGTGGTAGTGGTGGTAGTGTGTGTGGTGGTAGTGTGGCTGGTAGTGTGGGTGGTGGTGGTAGTGTGTGGTGGTGGTAGTGTGGCTGGTAGTGTGGGTGGTGGTGGTAGTGTGGTGGTAGTGTGAGTAGTGGTGGTGGTGAGTAGGGGAGACAAAGGCGGCCGTGAGGGGGGTGTCTACCTGGGCCTGCACTGCCAGGTGGAACGCTCCCTTCTTGAATGGGAGCATCGGTGCCCCGTGGCTTCGAGTGCCCTCAGGAAAGACCCAAACGTTGATCTGTACCAGAGAGACACAGACACAGACAGACACAGACAGACAGAGACACAGACACAGACAGACACAGACAGACACAGACACAGACAGACACGGCCATTGTGAACACTCGGGAAAGATCCAAACGTTGATCTGAAGCAGAGAGACACAGACAGACAGACAGAGACACAGACAGACAGAGACACAGACAGACAGAGACACAGACACAGACAGACAGAGACACAGACAGACACAAACACAGACAGAGACACACAGACACAGACAGAGACACAGACACACAGACAGACACAGACAGAGACACAGAGACAGAGACACACAGACAGAGACACAGATAGACAGACACACAGAGACACACAGATAGACACAGACACACAGAGACACAGACAGAGACACAGACACACAGAGACACAGACAGAGACACAGAGACAGAGACACACAGACAGAGACACAGATAGACACACACAGAGACACACACAGACACACAGATAGACACAGAGACACACAGAGACACAGATAGACAGAGACACATACACACACAGAGACACAGACAGACACACAGAGACACACACACAGAGACACAGAGACACAGACACACACACACAGAGACACACAGACACACACACAGAGACACACACACACAGAGAGACACACACAGAGACACACAGACACAGACACAGAGACACAGACACACACACACAGAGACACAGAGACACAGACACACACAGACACACAGAGACACACACACAGACACACACACAGAGACACACAGACACACACACAGAGACACAGAGACACAGAGAGACACACAGAGAGACACACACACAGACACACAGACACAGACAGACACACAGACTGAGAGTGCTACGCCACTTTTATCGCTGCGAGCAGCAAAGGCACCAAAATCCGATTTCGATCACAAAGTCGCGCCGAGCGCAGCGTCACCGCACGGCACGTCACCACACGTCACGTCACGGCACGTCACGTCACACACGTCACGTCACGTCACATCACGTCACATCACATCACCGCACAGCACGGCACGTCACATGACGTCACGGCATGTCACGTCACCCACGTCACGTCACATCACGTCACGTCACCACACGTCACGTCACACGTCACCGCACGTCCCGCACATCACGTCATGTCACCACACGGCACGGCACGTCACTGCACGGGCAACACGAACACTGCGTCGTGATGCACGGCACGGCCTACCTAGGGCACGGCCTACCAGGGGCACGGCCTACCAAGGGCACGGCCTACCAGGGGCACGGCCTACCAAGGGCACGGCCTACCGGGGGCACGGCCTACCGGGGGCACGGCCTACCAAGGGCACGGCCTACCAGGGGCACGGCCTACCAAGGGCACGGCCTACCGGGGGCACGGCCTACCAGGGGCACGGCCTACCAGGGGCACGGCCTACCAGGGGCACGGCCTACCAGGGGCACGGCCTACCAGGGGCACGGCCTACCACACACGGGAAGAAGTAAAAATCAAAGGCTGCCGTTGGCGCCGGTGCAGGGGGCTTGGTACGGCGTGGTCCAGCCGTGGCCGTGCTTAGAGCAAGTACCCTGGAGCGGTAGGCCTGGCTCCAGGCAGGGCTGTGACCTTCAGCAGGAGCGGTAGGCCTGGCTCCAGGCAGGGCTGTGACCTTCAGCAGGAGCGGTAGGCCTGGCTCCAGGCAGGGCTGTGACCTTCAGCAGGAGCGGTGGGCCTGGCTCCAGGCAGGGCTGTGACCTTCAGCAGGAGTGGTGGGCCTGGCTCCAGGCAGGGCTGTGACCTTCAGCAGGAGCGGTGGGCCTGGCTCCAGGCAGGGCTGTGACCTTCAGTAGGAGTGGTGGGCCTGGCTCCAGGCAGGGCTGTGACCTTCAGCAGGAGTGGTGGGCCTGGCTCCAGGCAGGGCTGTGACCTTCAGCAGGAGTGGTGGGCCTGGCTCCAGGCAGGGCTGTGACCTTCAGCAGGAGTGGTGGGCCTGGCTCCAGGCAGGGCTGTGACCTTCAGCAGGAGTGGTGGGCCTGGCTCCAGGCAGGGCTGTGACCTTCAGCAGGAGTGGTGGGCCTGGCTCCAGGCAGAGCTGTGACCTTCAGCAGGAGCGGTGGGCCTGGCTCCAGGCAGGGCTGTGACCTTCAGCAGGAGCGGTAGGCCTGGCTCCAGACAGGGCTGTGACCTTCACAGGTACCCTCCAACACCGGAGCGGTGGGCCTGGCTCCAGGCAGGGCTGTGACCTTCAGCAGGAGCGGTGGGCCTGGCTCCAGGCAGGGCTGTGACCTTCAGCAGGAGTGGTGGGCCTGGCTCCAGGCAGGGCTGTGACCTTCAGCAGGAGTGGTGGGCCTGGCTCCAGGCAGAGCTGTGACCTTCAGCAGGAGCGGTGGGCCTGGCTCCAGGCAGGGCTGTGACCTTCAGCAGGAGTGGTGGGCCTGGCTCCAGGCAGGGCTGTGACCTTCAGCAGGAGTGGTGGGCCTGGCTCCAGGCAGGGCTGTGACCTTCAGCAGGAGTGGTGGGCCTGGCTCCAGGCAGAGCTGTGACCTTCAGCAGGAGCGGTGGGCCTGGCTCCAGGCAGGGCTGTGACCTTCAGCAGGAGCGGTGGGCCTGGCTCCAGACAGGGCTGTGACCTTCACAGGTACCCTCCAACACCGGAGCGGTGGGCCTGGCTCCAGGCAGGGCTGTGACCTTCAGCAGGAGCGGCAGGCCGAAGCCATCGCTTTAGCAGGCCCCTGAACATTGGCCATCAGCGTCGCCTTAGGGCATTCTCCTTCTTATAAACTGCGCCAGGGTAAGGCATCACCCTCCCGCCATCCCTCCCGCAATCCCTCCCGCAATCCCTCCCATATGAAGCTGTTCTTGTAGAAAGGAGGGAGAGATCGAGAGAGAGAGAAACGAGAGACAGAGAGGGACAGAGACAGCGAGGGACAGAGACACAGAGAGACACGGCCATTGTTAACCCACGCGCAAAAAGAGACAGACAGAGAGAGAGAGACATAGATACAGAGAGAGACACACAGACCACAGACAGAGACAGAGAGATACAGAGAGACACACAGACCACAGAGAGAGAGACAGAGATACAGAGAGAGACACACAGACCACAGACAGATACAGAGAGACAGAGAGAGACACAGACCACAGACAGATACAGAGAGATACAGAGAGACAGAGAGAGACACAGACCACAGACAGATACAGAGATACAGAGAGAGACACACAGACCACAGACAGATACAGAGATACAGAGAGAGAGAGACACAGACCACAGACAGATACAGAGAGATACAGAGAGACAGAGAGAGACACACAGACCACAGACAGATACAGAGAGAGACAGAGATACAGAGAGACAGAGACACAGACCACAGATACAGAGAGATACAGAGAGACAGAGAGAGACACACAGACCACAGACAGATACAGAGAGAGACAGAGAGAGAGACACAGAGTGAGACACACAGACCACAGACAGATACAGAGAGATAAAGAGACAGAGAGAGATACAGAGAGACACACAGACCACAGACAGATACAGAGAGAGACAAAGACAGAGACACACAGACCACAGACAGATACAGAGAGAGACAGAGAGAGAGACACACAGACCACAGACAGATACAGACAGAGAGACTGAGATACAGAGAGACACACAGACCACAGACAGATACAGAGAGAGACAAAGAGACAGAGAGAGACACACAGACCACAGACAGATACAGAGAGAGACAAAGAGACAGAGAGACACACACAGACCACAGACATACAGAAAGACAGAGAGACAGAGATACACACAGACCACAGACGGATACAGAGACAAAGAGACAGAGATACACACAGACCACAGACAGATACAGAAAGACAAAGAGACAGAGATACACACAGACCACAGACAGATACAGAGAGAGACAAAGAGACAGAGAGAGACACACAGACCACAGACAGATACAGAGAGAGACCACAGATAGATACGGAGAGACAGAGAGAGATACAGAGAGACACACACAGACCACAGACAGATACAGAGAGAGACAGACCACAGACAGATACAGACAGATGCAGAGAGAGACAGATACAGAGAGACACAGATGACAGACAGATACAGAGAGATACAGAGAGACAGAGACACACAGACCACAGACAGATACAGAGAGAGACAGAGAGAGACACACAGACCACAGACAGATACAGAGAGACTGAGATACAGAGAGAGACACACAGACCACAGACAGATACAGAGAGAGACAAAGAGACAGAGACACACAGATCACAGAGAGATACAGAGAGATAGAGAGAGACAGAGACAGAGAGAGACACACAGGCCACAGACAGATACAGAGAGAGACAGAGAGAGAGACAGAGACAGACACACAGATACAGAGACAGAGAGAGACAGACACAGACCACAGACAGATACAGAGAGAGCCAAAGAGACAGAGACACACAGATCACAGACAGATACAGAGAGACTGAGATACAGAGAGAGACACACAGACCACAGACAGGTACAGAGAGAGACAGAGATACACACAGACCACAGACAGATACAGAAAGACAGAGAGACACACAGACCACAGACAGATACAGAGAGACAGAGAGAGACACAGACCACAGACAGATACAGAGAGATACAGAGAGACACACAGACCACAGACAGATACAGAGAGAGACAGAGAGACAGAGAGAGACACACAGACCACAGACAGATACAGAGAGACAGAGAGAGAGACACACAGACCACAGACAGATACAGAGATACAGAGAGACAGAGAGACACACACAGACCACAGACAGATACAGATATACAGAGAGACAGAGAGAGACACACAGATCACAGAGAGAGACAGAGAGAGAGACACACAGACCACAGACAGATACAGAGATAGACAGAGAGACAGAGAGAGACACACAGACCACAGACAGATACAGAGAGACAGAGAGAGACACACAGACCACAGACAGATACAGACAGATACAGAGACACACAGATCACAGAGAGAGACAGAGAGACAGAGAGA